GGGAAGTGTGGTCAGGCTCTTGTGACACAGCCAGTTGTCCTGCAGTGGGTGTAAGGAGTGACATGGGGCTGGCGGTGAAGGACAGGACGTCAGCCAGGGGCCATAGTGGTCAACTCAAGAGCCCCCCATTCCCACTATCACCTTGTAGGCCACCAGGCCCACCCTTCAGGCCGAGCCTCAGCTTCCCACCAGCACATGGTAGGAGACAGGGTCTGGCATGGCCCTTTTCAAAGAAGGGGGCCCACATCCAGCTGCCCAGAGCTCCAAGAGACCTGCTTAGCCTGGTCTGGCGCAGTCCTGGACAGCTCTCCCTGCTTCTGCCAAGTGCCTAGGGCCCCACCCCAACCCTACCCCATCAAGTGGGCCAAGGTTCCTGGAAGGGGAAGCTGGTCAGAGGAAGGGCATCTGCCCTACCTCACACAGGGAGCCTCACACAAGATGGGTTCATAGAGATGAAGCTGAGGGCCAAAAACCTCCTCACCTGGACAGCCCCCACAGTCAGGAGTCACTGAGTAAAGTCGTGGTCTCCCAGGCCCAACCCCAGCTTCCTACAAGGGAGCTGTCATGGTGCTGTGGCATCATGACCACTGTTGAAAGCTTTCTTGTCTGCTGTGGTCCTCCTCAAGTCCCCATCTCTCAAAACAGGTCATCAGAGCCAAGGCACCAGCCCCTAATACACAGGCTAGCTCTCAGCTGTGTTTGGCTCCCCAGGCAACCCAGGAGCTTCCAGGGCAGGGCCAGGGCTATCTTTTTCCGCCCCTGACAGGTAACCAGGCACAGGGTTAGACACCTGGGTGGGCTCAGAGAAGACCTGGTGATAGGCCATTGACCCATAGGAAGAGGAGGTAAGAAGCCTGGGTATTGCTGGCATGAAGGCCTCCTCAAGGGGCTGCAGTTTCTCCCTGCAGTATGGCAGCCTGTGGAAGGACAGGTGACCTAGCACAGATGTCCCTTTCTGCAAGAAATCTTCCTGGAGCCCTCAGACCTAGGCTGACTCAACACTTCTACCTCAGAGTGCCCCCTCATGGCTCATCTCCTCTCTCTGGTCCTAGTTACAAGTTTTTGGGTCAGAAATCCTGTCAAACCAGGAACTTCCTCCTGTCCCTGTCCTCATCCAGGTGCCTCCTTCTCTTCCTGTCATCTCCACTTGCCACCTCTTCCAGGATGCCCTCCCTAATGTGGTAGGCTGGAATAGGTACTTCCTCAGTTCCCATGGTTGCCCTGTTACTGACCCTGTTACACTCCATTATAAGAATCTGTTTACCCACCTCTGTCCCCATCTACACTGAGAAGTCCATAAGGACAGGGCTGCATTGAGTGTTTCATCGCTGGATCCCTAAACCCAGCCCTGGACCAGCACAAGACTGGCTCCAGTAGATGTCTGATGAATGAATATGTCCACCTTTGAGACTGCAAACCCACTTCTGCCAGCTGATCCTGGGCATTTTGCTCATGAAAGAACACAAGAAAGAACACAAAACTGAAAACCTCTGACCTCCCAGCTTTCAATTTCAAGATCTCTGCATAGTGGCTAAAGCACTTGACTGCTAACCAGAAGCCTGGCAGTTCAAACCCACCAGCCACTCCTCGGAAGGAAGGTTGGGCAATCCTACTTCCGTAGTGATACTGCCTCGGAAACCCAAGGAGGGGTCGCTATGAGTCGGGGCCGACTCCCCGGCACATAACAACAACAAGCTAAGGTTCAAACAGGCCTAGCTCTTGCCATCCTAGAGAGGCAGGAATCCCAAAGAGAACAACCCCCTCCTCTGCCCTCTGTGGGCTTTTGGGGGAATTGAGGCGCAGAGGAAAGCAAGGGCTTGCTCAAAGTCACACAGCGAATCAGGCCAGAGCTGGGACCAGGACCCAGGCTTCCAAACTCCCAGCTCTTTCTCCCCACACCATGGTAATGCTCGGACTGGACCAGCATCCTCCCCACCCCACCCCACTCCACCCCTACCTGCTCTCAGAATCTTTCCTGCCCAGGGGCCACAGAGTTTAGTTGGAAGCTCCTGGTGACATCACTGAACATCTCTCTGAGCTTAGGAAACTTCCCCCTCCCCCTGGGAATCACCCCCTTTCTGTTCTGCAGGGGGAGTTCATCTTGAAGGTGATGAGCACATCTAGGTCTCTAGGGGGCAAGGATTTCCACTGGAAATGCTGACTCTTAGGGAGCCCTGGCTGTGACTTCATTCCCAAGAGTAGGTGACAACAATCTTCTGCCCTGGGGAGCAGCCCCATACTGGCTCCCCAGCAGCCACTGAGTCAACAATAACATCCTGTTGTTTAAGTGGACAAGTGAGAGGGCACAACTGGCTGGGTAGGTGGAAGCTGGAGATGTAAGGTGATTCCAGCTGTGGACAGGCTGGCTCACCTCTGGCTTGGGGGGTCAGGACCTTCCTGGGCTTCTCCATCTCCTCCAGCCAGCAATGAAATGGGGGCAGGGTGCACATTTACCCAGGCATGCCAATCTCCTGCCAACCCCCTTGCCCTCATCTGCAACCCACTCCCCTCCACTGCCTGCTTGCAGGGAGGTCAGGCCCATACATACACATCCTTGACTGGCCCAGGTATCAATGACTGCCCTTGGGGGACAACCTCCAGAGCCTTTGCTGAGACTCAAGGGTACCCAGCAGGCCAGTGCTGGCACATCCCTCTCTCTGCTCCAAGCTGCTTGGGGCCAGGGCTTCATCAGGGCTGGTGAGGCATTAACCTTCCTAAGTACAGGCTGGAACCCTGCCAGAGCTGCCTGTTCTAGCAGCAGAAAAAAAACTCTCCATACCTACTCCTGTCTGTCTTAGCGTAAAAGTTCCTCCAAGTCCAATCTGTATCTCACAGAGAGGTAGTTCCAGAACCACCACCATCCCTGAACGAGCCTTACCTGAATGCCACCACTCCACCACTACCCTCAACCACTGGAGGATGGGGACCTAGACCTGCAGCAAAGCTTAAGAGTGCCCTCTCACCCCACTCCTCAGTGGTTTGTCCTGCCCAAGCCCATTCCTGCCCGACTGCCATGTGTCATCCCATAGGAGACAGGAGGCAGCTGTCAGCCGGGCACACTGTCACCAGCTGGTGGTCCTGGGGGGCAGGTGAATGACAGTGCCTGTCTGGCCAGTGGGATGCCTGGCACTGTGAAGGCAACCACAGATTGCCCTTGAACAACATTGGTGAGGGACTGATGAACCCCAAACGGAGGGCACAGTCAGTGTGGCTAGAACAGAGATATAGCGGGAGGGGGTTGCCGCTAGGCTGGGAGCTTTGAAAAGTGGGTAAGAGGGTTGAAAGCAGCTTTAAATAGCCTCAGGGTGGGGACTAAGTACCTGGAATGGGGAGGTACACATTAAGTGCCAAGAGGTGGGTGTGCATTAAGTGGGTAGTGTAGGGAGGGGAGGCTTTGTGGGGGGGGGATAATGGGGAGGGGAGCAGAGCCAAATGCAAGGAGCTTGGTGCAAGGGGAGATTTCAGAACACTCAGATGTGGCCATTTGTCCCCTCCAGAGTGCCCAAGTGCTGAGGGCAAGGCAAGTGAGTAGGGAGGGCAGAGGAAGCCTGGTTGGAGCTGGCACAGACTCAGGTCTGAGAGCCATACAGGTGAGCACCAGAAGCAGGTGATCAGTGCTCCAACCACACCATCGCCCACTTCCCCCATGAACACCTCTGGCTGGGTAGCAGAGTCGGCCCCCCCAAGCCCCTTACTCATGGCCAGAGGACCATCTAAAATTCTCCACCCCTAACCCAGAACCAGAACCGATCCTCTGCCAGGTCAGAGTCTCTATCTGCACGATGAGCTCCCATGGTGCCCAGTGACCTTGGGCAAGTCACATTTGTTCTGTGGCTGCCGCAGTTCAGGTCACTAATTTTGTGTGTAGGTTTTTTTTTTTTTTTCTCTCCCCCTCTGCTAAGAATACCTGCCCCAGATAATGCTCAAATGCCTACAATCGCTGCAAACCTCCGCAGGCATCAAAGGCGTCCAGCCTGGACCAGACCCCACTAGCCAGCCCAGCCCCCGTCAAGAGTTCATCACCACCACCACAGGGGGCCGCAGCGACGCCAAATTTGGGGACAGAGCCTAGTCGGCCTCTGGACGGAGGAAGCATTTGTGTGCAATGCAGGGGAGAGGAGCTCAGTCGCTAGCGGCAGAAAATCTCAAACCACCGCCTAGCCGGCTTTCTGTCCCACTGTACAGGGGTCTAAACTGAGGCGCCTCTGGGGCAGATTCTGGTCCCCAGTTCATATATTTATAGCGGCCTTAAGTATGCACCCCCAACCCAGATCTGCCGTCTGAGGGTCCCAACGGCCGCGCCTCATCCACCGGGCACTGCCCCTCAAGCTTGTGCCGATTCCTGGTGACAACTGCCACGTGCGGGCAAGGGGGGAGCCGCGGGTCCCAGCATGGTGGAGGCAGCGCTTGAGTGCCCCAAGCCCCCGCACCGCACCTCGTCCTGGTTAGCCGTAGGGTGCCTACCCTCTTGCCTGGTCCAAGCTCTGGGCCGGGGCGGGGGCGGGGGCGGGCGGTGGGGTCTTTGTTCCCGCAGCCAGAGCGCGGTGGCGGCAGCAAGGGGTCCGCGCCCCCCTCCCCAGCCCAGCCTGCGCCCCGCGCGCCAGCGAAGCCTGCAGCTTAGGAGGAGGGGGCTCTTGTGGGGGGCCCGGCCAGGACAGCGTCCTCCGCAGAGGCCCCGGAGCGGGAGGACAGAAGGCGGCTCGCGGCTTAGAGAGGGGTCCGCCCACTCCCCCCGGCGCTGCGGCTCCGGCTGCGGGCTGACTTGGAGAGACTTAGCCGGGGCTCGGGCCCCCGCCGTTCGCTCACCGCAGCGTTAAAGCCGACTCCGGCGTGCTGGCGCGCACACTCACACACATTCACTCAGACCCACACGCTCCCCGCAGGGCCAGCCTGGGACCCGCAGAGCCGCGCGCACGCACTCCCGCCGAGTGCCACACACTCCGCACCCACCCCGTGCAGTGCCAGATCCCGCGCCCTGCCGGCCACCGGGCGCCGCCTACCTTTCCAGACGGCGGAGATGCGGGGTCCGCTCCTCCAGTGGCCTTGGGCGGCGGCGGCGGCAGCCCAGAGCAGCAGCAGCAGCCGCAGCAGGAGCCCCGACCGAGTCAGTGGGCCAAGGACGCGGGCGCGCGGGGCGCCGAGGGCGGCGCGTCCGGGCGGGGGCGGTGTCATCCCGTAGCCCCCGAGCGACAGCGGAGAGCAGCAGAGACTGAGCCAGCGCCCGGCCGCAGGCAGACCCAAGCTCGGGGAGGCGGAGTCAAAAGCCTGACCCCACCCCACCCCTCCCCCGCCTTTCTCGCCTACTCGTCTGCCCAAGGGGGGCGCAGTACCGCGCCAGGGGAACCTTCCCCATCCTGTCCCCGGCAACTCCACGGGAGAACCCGACGTGGGCAAGACGGAACTGTGGTCTTCAGCGACCGGTAGCCGGTCCCGTCCCCTGTCTGGGCCTCAGTTCCACGCCCCCACCCCACGAAAGGATTGTCCTAGAAGTCGCAGAAGGACCTGCCAGAGGGCACAGACAGTCTAATAGCAGACCACCCCGCTAATGGTCAGCTAAGTGCTTTTTTCGAGGATGGGCTGGCCTGAGTTGGACACAGGCTCCCTGCCGAGCCGCAAACACAGCAAGCTCTCCCCGAAGAGTGCAGAAGAGTGCAGGGTGTAGGGACCAGATCTGTGAGGAGTGCTCAGCGCCCCATTATCGCGCTCTGTTTGTGAGAACACTGGGAAGGTTTCATCTTGGCCTGGCTCCCTCCTCCTTTCTCCTCCCTTCCCCAGCCAGCAGCCTTCCGGGCTGCCTCGAGCGCCCCCCCCCTCCCGCCCCCTCCCCAGCCAGCTGGTGT